GGCAAGTGTGTTGTTCAGTAAAAAGCAAAAATAAATATATAAACAGAAAAAAATATCCTCTTGCCTAGCTACGGTCGTATTGGCACAAATGATCAAATTCTGCAAGCCCAATATATAACCGACAAAATTTGGCTGTCTCAAAAAAAAAAATATATATATATTTTTTTTTTTAAATAGATTCAGCTGTACAAAATGTTCTCACTGTGCACAACTCTAATTGGCTTTGAGTGGTAGATTGTCTACTTTATTCATCCTAGTGTGGTAATTATGATTAGTGCAGTGTTCTACTGCTAGACACATAAAAATTATTTTTTTGTGGGAGTATGTTGAATGATCACTATAGTGTCATGAAAACAAACCCATTTTCCTGACACTATAGTGCCCTAGGGGTCCCTCAGGATCCCCCTCCCTTGGTGCTGAAGGGGTTAAAACCCCTTCAACAGCTTACCTTAATCCAGCGCCGGGCTCCCTCGACGCTGGTGACCTCTCCTCCCCCGCCGACGTCAGCTCCCGAGTGGAGCGGAAGGTGCATGCGCGGCAAGTGCCGCGCGCACATTCGAACAGTCTATAGGAAAGCATTTCTCAATGCTTTCCTATGGACCTTCTGCATGCTGGATACGAATTTCGCATCCAGCGTCGCAAATGCGCCTCTAGTGACTGTCAGGAAGACAGCCACTAGAGGTTGAATTAACCCTGCTATGTTTACATCTGAAGGGTTAAAACCTGAGGGACCTGGCACCCAGACCACTTCATTGAGCTGAAGTGGTCTGGGCGACTTTTAAGTAAATAAAAAAGTAGAAAATGGGCTGAGTGGGAGACAAGAGGCATAGCGAGGCTGGGCAGGATAGAAAGACTCACACAAGGGGCTTGGGGGAGAAAGAGACATACAGAGGAGCTGGGGGGAAGAACGCCATAGAAGAGGTGAGGAAGCGGAGAAAAAAAAACACACAAAGGGGATGGGAGGTGGGAAGAGACACACAGAGAGGCTGAAAAGGGGGAGAAAGATACACACAAAGGGGCTTAGTGAAGTAAGACACACACAAAAAGAAAAATCAGGATAAGATATACTAAAGTGGATAAGACATAAAAAAAGAGGATAAGAAACAAAAAGGGGGTAAGAAATTCAAAGGGGGTTAAGGAACACAGAGGTGAAAATAACTGAAGGGACTGCCAAATGCATCTTCGCCTGTGTAGCCAAAAATCCTTGCACTGACCCTGGTTGTCAGGCAGGGCCCCCACAATATATATTATATTATTATATACATCAACATGATACACTGAGAATGCAATGCATATAATTGACCAATTGCAATTGGCACCGTGGGTAAGTATTTGGGCTGGAGGAAGGGCCAGATCATTAGGGCATGCTATGCTGCCCTAATGTCAATTCAGCCCTCCTCTTGCAGGATGGTATAGCATTCCCTAATGTCTGGAAAAAAGGTGAAACAAACTCAATAATTTACAATTTTACAAGTTTTTTTAAAGTGTTTGTAGAAATTATTTTTTGAAAAAATTTTTATTACTAAAAATAAAAAGAAAGTTCCTCATGCCACATTGGCACCCATGCAAACTTTTAAGTAATAGACCTTTTCATGTATCCTAATGTTAGACTGCTGGTTATGAATAGTGCAGTGTCCTACTGCTAGCTATTGCCACTTAACTTGCTTACAGTTTAATAGTGTTTGTAGAAAGAAAATATATATATATATTTTTTTCAGAGTATGTTCAGTCCAGTCTGTACAGTACAATTGTGCGAGCACAGTGCAGTGATTGTGTGCTGTGCATAGTGTAGTGTTAAAGTCAGAAACACGATAATAGTAAAATCCTCTTCCTCAGCCATGAGGACTGCTAACACCTCCTCCACCGCTGCCTCCACCACTATTAGAAGTAATTAGCCTCAGGATAGTTGGGTTAGACGCATGACAGTTACATCCAATTTACCACACAGTAGGCAATTGTATTTTGTCTTTTTAATTTTTTATGCTGTATAATGTTGTTGTGTTGTGTAATACTGAACAAGATTGTGTTAGCATTTCACTGAAATTCTAAAGCAATCCAAAGATAACATAAGGCAAAATAGAGACCACTGGCTTCTGGCAACTGAAGAACCAGAAGCTGAAGAGAACCTACAAGACAAAAATGGTGTCAGCCATAAGGAACAGCTTGAGGTAAGTAAAATGTACATTCTACTGCACCCTGAAGTCATTGCAACCATACCAGATCGGCCAATTTGAGGGTTCCTTGCAAAATATACATGTGACAAACTACCTTGACAACCCTGTGATTCCCCTCTCTCTAGTTATTTTTCCCTTTATTCATTGTTTTGATCTACCAAACACAGACCACCCCCTGGCTAATTATCTTCAAGGTAACCACAAAATTAAGTGCTCTCTCTGGGCACTGGAAACCAGTCATCTTGTCTCCCGAACGCTGGCAGCGGTACTTGGTTGTCGAGTGTCTGGAACTCCAAGACACTCTAACTCGCGAACACAGATAACTTTGTACTGCCACCTGCCTCTATTCCTGACAAGCCAGAAGAGTGATATTCGGTGGAAAGGTATGCACAAACTTGATGAGCAATCACTACCCATGAGCCAGGGGAACCGTTCAGTATTTTATTTGTTTTGGAACTCCCAAAAGTGACCACTTTTCTTCTGGAACTATTTTGGGCAGACATCATGTGTGAGGTTGGTTAAAACTTTACCAAGGTGGTGATGTAGCTGTATTCTTGGGATCTTAGACCTATTTGGACAATTTGGACGCGTAGGTCCAGGCCATCCAGTGATATAAAACTTGTTGGGGTCCCTATTAACATTAGGTATGTTTTGGGGTATTTTATGTCTGATTTGTTGTACCTCTGTTGCCAGGGAGATAATTAGTTTAAGTAAAGTACATTTAATTATCTCCTAGACACAGAGATGTCTGGGCCTGTTTTTCCTATAATTATGCTGGAGACCCCAAGTAGGCAATCTGGCCATTATAAAACATTCCAATTGTACCCTTTATCAAGTCACGTCTAAAGTTTAAGTATGCAAACTACAAAGGGCTTGATTTCTCACGTTGGATTTCGGGAGTGGCCAATTGCAGCCACCATAGGAGTTAGGGGAAATACATAGAATGTAGTCATATGTTTAGAAACAGTCTAATACATTGATAGGAGTTGTTGCATGAACTAGTGCATTCATTTTTTCATTAGTCACATGGAGACCAATCTTGTCCACTCAATGTGCACTGTATTTCTATTTTTAGCCCGAAATCCTGTAAGCACTGTAAAACAGCTTCAACATTCGCTTTATGAGAGGCAGCATTTTCATCTGTGAGCACGTCTATCACGCAATTAGTGTGTGGAATAACTGCCAGTATCTCATCTATCATCCATTGCCAAGCTGCAGGCACTGGGTCTATTCCAACCACCATCTATTTATACTAAAAAAGTCCTTTGTGAGTGCTGATAGTTAACAAGTATCTGGAGTGTGGATGTACCTCCAACCGTAAGCACAATTTTTGTAATTTGTTCCCCACTCGCAAGATAACCTTTTCAATCTCTGGTAAAGCATATTGGCCAACAAGTAAGGGCCTGAATGTCATTTACATCTCAGCAAATGCAAATGTCCTGTTTCTAAACAAAAAAAAACACCAATTAGCACCCAAAATAGTGCTAGGTGAAATTAAATTAAATCTGAAGACTTATATTCTAAATGAACAGCTTTCTCAGTTAGCTATTGCATAAACAGAAATATACATATATTTATATAGAGAGAAAAGAGGGATACAGCTGAACAATCTGAAATTAAATATTAACAACACATAGTGGGATATTGCCACAGCATTAAAAAGTGACACACTGTTAAATTGTACTCACAAAATATGAAGTATTTAATCGTCTTGAAAGTCCCTCCCCTGATTGTCAATAACTCAGTTCAGAAAGTGAAGGAGTGAGGAATCGAGGCAGGTATAAGTTATTTATTGTTAACAACTTATTGTTAAAACAATAAAAAAGGAGGTTAGAGGAAATAGTTACAAGCTTTTACTTCCTCGCAGCTCTGGCTGCAGGTAACACAGGGGTCCGGTTGCGTTATTAAAGCGCCTCAGCGCGTGAAAGGAACCCTGAAGGCACATGTGTATCGGGTGTCCCAAAGAACATGAGCCACTCGATACACTCATGCAGTGGTTCCCAGCCTGTGCAGTGGCCCGCACTGCTGCCATTACCCAAATTTATTCGCGGACCCCCAGGGGCACTGAATTGTACCACTTGGGGTAAGCGTATCACGGGTTTGGAACCGCTGCTCTAGACTATCTAGGCAGTCTTTAAATGGTGCAGTTCCTTGACCCTTCACCCTGCTGTAGCTTGGAGATAAGTTTTGGTTATGATAGGGCCTGCAGGCCTATATCCCATAAGAATGCCTCTAGTTCATCCAACGAGGTCAAGATACGGAGCTCATCTCCATGTGCGGGCACAATGGACCCCGCCAATCCCCATCTGTATTTAATGGAGCAGTCTCTGAGTCTTTTAGCTACTGGTGCCAGTTTCCTTTTTTTCCACCAGGACAGAAAAGGGGATGTCATCATACACAGCCACTATGCAGCTCTCAAAGGATTTAGTTTCCTGACCCTTTGAGTAATTCACTATAGACCTTTTCACTGTTACATCACGTGTTACGGGAATGGTGTCTCTGGAGGCTCCATTAGGTGCCGCAGCTGATTTGCCCACTCAAAATGCTTATAAAATCTGCAGAGGGTCTGGGCCTCCTCTGATACCCATAGAGGTGGCCAGACTTTAAGTAAACTGCAGTAGCCTCTCACCTCCAGGCATCTCAAGGTCCCTCTGTTACAGATCCTGTGGTGTGTTTGCAGCATGTTCACCAGCCGGCTGAGCCGCTGTACTTGTGAGGCAAGACCTTCAATTTGTAATTTGGCAGCTGAAGTTGTTTGTCTCTGGAAGCCTCCCATACCTCCATCGCTCGCATTTTCTGGTGGACTACCCTGATTTCAGCCTGAACTTCCTGAAGATCTGACCTGTCAGGAGTCTTTTGATGTTTCCCTTTGTGGATGAGGATGAGTCCTCGTCCAATTCAGATGATTGATACACACCTCTGGGACAAGGTGAGGTAAGGAGTTCTCCCTCTTGGGATTTGTCAGACACTTCAATTTCACTTTGAGCCTTGGGTGTGATCTTTGGTGCTATCCACAGTGCCGACTTTTTGAAAGAAAGCCAAATATCTTGTAAACAAGGAGTTTCTGGGCGATGGTGCCTCTTATTTTTGCGCCTCATTGTGTCTTCTGGTAGGGGGTAATGATGTCTCTGGCTAGAAAGTTGGTTTTCCATGGCTAAAATCTGTTTCTGTACTTTAGATGTGGAGCTCCACATGGAGACGTCTGCTCAGTTGCCCTGTTGACTACACCCCCCCCAAAATCCTCTTTTTCAACTTAAAATTACTTCTGTCCCCATTTTCAATAACGCAAGGTAGCAAAAAGTTAAATATTACAATCAATCTTTATAAAACTAAGTTTTCTCACTTTGTAGGTTTTTTGTTTTTTTTTACCCAATATGTTACCTTTTAATTTTGACAATTCAGAATTGACTTTGCAATAATAACATATGTTGTATAACCATTAGAACAGGTAATAGTGTGGCCATTTTTGCATGTCAGGATCTTTTCTACTGCTTTTTTTTGACTGTAAATGTTTTTCAGTACCAATATTTTGCATAGCCAGACAACATCCTGGACTAAATTCTACCTTTCCACATTTTTCTGCTTTTTTTTTTCCCTCTGACAAAGTGGTTTTGCCGAAACAAAACAAAAATGTTTTTATGGTGTGTGTCTATGAATGTGGCTAAATATATGATAAAAAGTTCATGTATATATGAATGTGACTGTGTATATATGTAAAAGAAAAATATAAAAAGATATATGAAAGAAAAAAAAAACAGCTTAAGAGGTAAGAGGAGATAAGAGATACACAAGAAGTTATGGGATATTAAGAGACTGTCATGACTCCTCCATATTGTCTCAGAACTCCTCCATGTTGAATTCATCCCGATCTGCATTACACGTATGACTTCCGGGTATCACTGTCAGTCTCCGCCCCATAGGTCTGACATCACATGCTTCCCTTCAAAAGGAAGCCACTACCGCTCAATCTTTTTTGTTTGATATGCTCATGCTACTACTACATTGTTTCCGCTTCACTGCAGAACCCTGCTAAACTTATTTTCCTCTGTATCAAACCTCTGGCTTTGATCCTGGCTTCGCACTACTCCACTCTCCCTCTCAAGGAACAGACTTAACTTTGGATTCCTGCCTCTCTTCACTTTCTTCAGGGAACCATAGTTCATTCTACTCTGGAAAGGACTTCAACTCCCATCATTCGTGAAAGGAAAGAGAAGTTCTCCAGTGATTGCAATTATTAATTGGTTCTTATCATAAGTTAGATGAGAAGAATAAGGGATACTAAAATCTGCCTTTTGGAATTCTCCTTGCTATCTCTTTTGAATGTAATTTGCCAAATGACACAAATGTTAATTTTTATTCTTTGAGTCAAATGACTGCAACCACTTCGCATACCAGGACATATTTTGTTATCGAGCTTATTTCTCCAAGTTAAAACACTATTACTTTGTACAACAGGAATCACCGGCTCTTTAAACTTTATATTGAAGTTTAGTGAACTTTATTGCTTGTTGCTAACTAAGCATTCCTTATTTTCATTTGCAAACAATTACTATTTTTCTTGTGAAGTTATACTTAATAATGCATGAAGAATAGGAATGTTGGTTATTTTAAAACATTATTGCTGTAGAAGACTGCCAAGGTTAATTTGTTTTTTCACCTGCGGTTGAGTTCCAAATAATTTTCTCACGAGACTTTTACATAGACACACAAGGAAAGGGGGATATATAAAGGGGAATATGTAAAAAATGCACAAGGAAAGTCAGGAGAGGAGGATGAGGGGGTGTGGAGCAACAAGCAAATGTCTACAAGTAACCTTTGTATGTCTCTGATCAAGGATTTAAGAGATGGCAATTCTTATAAATAAATGGTTTTCTTCCTGCCCTCAGTCAGATAGACAGACCTGTACTTGCACTAATTTTGTCTCACTACATATGTGAAGGGCTAAACATTACAGCCCTTGTTTCCTACTATGTAGAGAACCAGTTTAATGGAGAAGCTTTTATTAATGCTTTTGTAGTAGTTATGGAGTGTAGGGAGACAACATATGTGGGTTTCTCTAACACCTTTCAAAGTTCAGTATATTAATGAGAGCTAGTGTAACTGTACTTATTGTTTCTCACTAATACCCATTTGAAGCATTGACTATTCATTACAAATATATATACATATATATTCTGCCTTCAATATTCTAAAAATGTGAATAGTGTATAATTTCATAGTGTATAATAAAGCCATCTACCCTATCAATGTTTCTCTATAAATTACTAAAACAATTGTCATACTTTTAAGTCTTTTATGCATTTCTGAACAGCAGTCTATACAAAGGCCCTGTTATCCTATGTTTATGTGTTAGATATGTGTTGCAGTAAAATTGAAATATTTGTAAGAGTAGAGGTAAACAACAAAATGTATCCAATTTTCAACATACAGTAATTTCACTGAAAATTGATTTGTAATAGTTACAGTATCTAGAATTGTATGCTGGTTGATAAGATACCAAAAAGCATGACAAGTATAAGTTAGTCAATACTCTCAGGTACACCCGCCTAAGCATAAAATACATAATAAATTCTACAGTGTAGATTTAATTATACTTGTATCGTACTGGCTGTTCAAATTGTCCATCTAAATAGGTATGTTTTGAAAATTGTGCTAGAGAAAGGTTTCCCACTATTAGAATTATGTGAAAAAAGCTGAGTGATAAAAATAGCAGATATTCAAAAAATTTTTGTGTATTCACTAAATTCTTTTTTTTTTAAAAGAAAATTGTTTGGAAAAAAAGATACTGAACATTAGTTCAAGGCAGTTGTTTGAGTCAACCCATTTCATAATAGTGGAGTATGAAAAATATATCAGCCTAAACCATGTTTATTTTATACTTAGAAAAACACAAGCAGGATTGGTGTGGTGTGCTATAAAATCACATGTGAAGGTCACCAATTAAGTAGTATGCATACACTGGTAATAGATCTGCTGAAATACGCTGGTTAGATAATAATCCAAATAGGAGCTTTAATCACTTAAAAAAAAAACACGTAAAAAGCACAACAAAGAGTAAAACCATACAATAAAATGGTAAAAAATGAAGTAATTATTGCACTCACAGTGGCCAGTAGGGCACATATATAGGTCAAATAGTCCTCCACAAAGGGACTCCAAGATGTTTGTAGTCAGGTTGATCTCACCAGGGTTTTGGATCCCAAGGAGTCATGGAAAAACAACCTCTGCATATGGATGTCCCAGATAGAGTTGATAATAACCTCTAAAGGCTCCAAAATAGTCTGACCGGCTTCGTCCTCAGGAATTTCTAAAGGAAGAGCTTAAATCTGTTCACAGTCATTGCAGTTTTAAACCTAGCCAATCAGTGTCCGAATAAGTTCCACACGTGGGTTGAGTCCTACATAAAATCCACCAAAAAGATGGCCACTGCAATCACCTCCGGCGACTATAATAAGAAGCAGTTAGATAAAGACTTCTGGGCTAAAATCACAGTGTCTCAACATGAATATCATCTCCCAGACGGACCAATAAGTGGAAAAAGAATAATAAACTAAAAATAATACATACAGAAACAATCACCAACAATTATCCCCCTACCTACCTCCCTCACTCTAAAAATAATGAGGGGGGTCCTTTAACTAAGTACCTGTAAAAATATAAAATAAAACTTACCATTCAATGTTTTCTTTCTTCTAAAATCTTCTTTTTTCAGCCCCAAAAAAGGCCAAATAAAAAACCATAATAACCGACACAATTATAAAAAAAAAAATGAGCGCAAAAAAAATAATCCTCCTTCACTCGGCGAGGGCTCCGCTCAGGTGTGGGGGCCAGGGGGAAGGACATTAGGGCCCCCACCCGCCGCTCAGTGGTGGGGGCCGGGGGGAGGACATTAGTTCCCCCCCTTAGTAGTATTTAGGGCCCCCACCCACCGCTCAGGGGTGGGGGCCAGGGGGGAGGACAATAGGTCCCCTCATCATATTACTTTAGGGCCCCCACCCGCCGCCACGGGCTGCTCACTGTTTAATATACATGCCCCTACTCGCGGTATAGCGAGTAGGGGCATAATTTACCGATACTAAGTAATCTTTTAGTAGATAGCTCCCTAATACCGTGGGAATTAGGGAGTTATCTACTTATTCATTCCTGTCATTCCATTGATTGGCTAAGTAACTTACATTTTATATGAATGTATATTACTTGATTGTTGTAAGTGTTGCAAATGCTTACAACTGAATCCTGACTATGTTTGTATACGTTTTATTTAAAATTGTATACAATGTAACATTCTCCTTCTTTCACTGGGTAAGTATATTAGTACTTAGGCAATACTGTTCTTCGGAACTTCGACACTTCAGAAATTCAGTAATTTCGGAACTTCGGCAATTCGGACATTCGGAAGTACCCGAATGTCCGAATTGCCGAAATTCATCCGAATATATATTCGGACCGAAACGAATTGCACATGTCTAATACTGATTGCTGCCTGGAAATTCTGTAAGTAGGATATTTACCCTTTGCTTTTATTTACCATTTCTATACATATTACACTATTGGATTTTATTTGTGCTTCTATTTTATACACATCTGTGGAGCCTTGGAAACCAGATACCACCACCACTTCTATATCCTTAGACGGGGATCATACCGTCCAGGTGCTATTCAGCAGAGCTCTTAGCAGCTCTAGAAAGTGTGAGTTGGTCCTTCTACTGGTTTTCGTTAATATTTCACTTTTGTATTACCTTGCATTGTTATACTGCACTATTATTGTCTCTATTTTATCTTTTTAAGGTTTATATTCACTACCTCATTACTGGGATAACCCATATGTATGTACATATTGCTATTCATACTTAATTATCCTCTACTATCCTGTGGCGCGGTTTACCACTTTGTTATTGCACTTTCTGGTTAATAGCAGGTATTGGGAAGTCCTGTTGGTTTACTGCTGCCGCCCACTTATACATTCTAGAGTGCGCCTATACCTGTGTTTTTTCTATCTACATACACCTATGTACAGTAATTTTATATCAACACATGACGCATTTAATAAACATCAAACAATTATTTTTTTATATTGAGTTACTGATAGACCTGTGTGGTGTAAGAGGACATTGTCAGGTTGGAATTATGAGGCTTCCCCAAAAATAGTTTCCATTGTGGCCCATACACCCTCCCAAAAGGCTATTAGAAGATG